ACTGGCCATGTCTTGAGAAGGACATCTGGAAACAAGCTGAAGATTGATGAAGATGGTCAACATGAGGAAGTCAAATATTCTGCGCCGCAGACGAGCGAAAGTCTGTCCTGGAGTCTGGTGGCAGTCTTTCTGCTTGTGCTGCGCTCCGCAGTTCCACTTTTCAAGGGATTTGCAACATAGTGGGGCCACTGGCATGAAACCTCAGCTTGTGCTCAAGCACTTGCCGTTTTGGACGTGAAGCTTGAGAACATCTATTTCCCACTGGTCGTTTTGGTGCTCGTGACATATTATGATTGTTTGCTGCTTTCAGTGTTCCATGGGCCTGGTCGAGAGATATCTGACTATCTAGGAATAATTTTCACGCAGGTTCATCATGATCAAATACTTTCACACGCCAGGTGAGCTTTCGCATTTGCCAACAAGCCGGTTGGAGCTACAGCCCTCTTGGCACAGAATTTCATGCGGATTAGGTGGCATTAATATCCATCGATATTTCATGAATATTGATGATGGATTTGATATTCTTTCTTTTGATATCCTTTATTTCCATCCACCGATACTTTATACGATCCAAAACACCTACATTATCAAATCGATGGGAATTGATTTCATCCACCTTTACAATCATTTTATATCAATTCTATTGATTATTTCAATCTAAGGCCAATAAAAAAAATAGATTAATATATTTAAATATATTAATAATATATATTTTCTACGATTTATTGATTTATATCTTTATATTTTAGAAAATATATAAAATAATATATATATAAATACATAATATATATTTGATTTTTTTATTAATTAATATATATAAATATTATTTTATGTATTTAATTTATATATTTAATTTATATATTTAATTTATATATTTAATTTATATATTTAATTTATATAAATAAAATAATATATATATATATAAATTATTATTGTTATTATGATTAAAATATGAAATGAAGAAATTATATAAATTATTGGGAAATATTTTATTATTTTTTTTTTTTTTTTAATATATATCGATAAATTAAATTGATTTATTTAATATAACTAATTATATTCATAGATATAATATTTTAGAATAATTTATATATATAAAATGATATTTAATATTAAATATGTATTTATTTTTTAATATAGGAATTATTATATATAAATATAATATTTAATCGAATAAATATTCGCATTGTGTATTTTACACAGTGGCAACGGAAGACCGCGAGTCCCTCGTGCTTTTCCGCACACATACGCCCTTCGAGCGATTTGATGCTCGAATGGGCTTCGGTCGAACGAATTTGCATAGCACTTAAAATCTATTATATTTATGTCTTACGCAACTGACACCAAATTGACATCGATTTATAGCTCCCGTACTTTTATTGTTGGTATTAGTTGTATCCTTTAACTCTAGTACGCTAGTGCGTAAAAGCTGAATTAAAGGAAAAAGGTTGCTATGCCTCTTTATTAAACTGTCTACGATTATTCGTGGATGAGGGACCCATTTGATGCAAGTGTTGGTTTCCGATAATACCTCTCGCACTATTTGCATTTCTAAGGCAATCCTCTTGTCATTGGTCGTTCCGACCATTTTACGGGACAAATGATCGAACAAGGAATTGGCATCTATTATACTGAGATTCCGTGCAAGCTTACGTTCATTGTTCTCGGAAACCAATGCGCTTAGTCGTTGACGGCGAAGGGACTTTTCCCACTTCTTCATGTTAAAACCCTTATGGGTGAATTCATTGAACACAGTTACGGTCTAGGAAAATTCAGACAGGCCTCTGGAGAGGGCTTGAGTCTTTGCAGCCAATGTTGAATTCACCACTCGATGGATCTTTCCGGATCTTTCTACTTCTCCAGTGCAATATATTGCACCGGCCAACTCCTGTCTCCAGGATCTTTTTTTCCATCGCCAACACGGCGTATGCACCTTGGGATTTCCCCCCCCCCCCTTGCTGACATTGGCGTAACTAGCATCGGTCACCACGCCCCAGTTGAGCTCGGACAACGGGATTCCTTGAATCTTCAAAGCCAGTTTAGAGTTCTCCCTCACCTGGTTGATGGTTGATGGCCTTGTTCAAATCCAATATGTCCTGCACTTTTAGCTCGCTCGTGCTGGACCTATCAAGCTAGCCGCAGCTACGGCGTCTGGACGCCCTTCTTTTGCTGCCCAAGTCAGGCTTCCAATTGTAGCCCGGGTAGCTTCCTTCTCTTCCAGGGTCGCATCCTCCTTGGATTTGGTGGCTCTTCCCACTTCCAATTTGATCGTCTGCAGGCGTTCGGACACAAACTTCTCCATGTCTATTATGAAGGTTCTTCCCTCATGCTTGATCCTCCGGCCATTGAAGCCAACTCCTTCAGCCTCCTCATCCACCTGCACGAACTTGCCAAAGTCGAAGCGTTGCCTCAACATCTTCATTTGTGAAAAGAAGTGTTCGTCACCTGTCCCAAACAGATCATCCATTTCCACCACCAAAAGCCCTCTGAGCACTCCATCCTTGAAGCTCTTGAAGACGCAAGGGTCCATGCTTGACTGTTGGAAACCGCACTGGAACAGGGCCTTCTTTAGACTCTTTCTCCAGTGAGCTGGCGCATCTCCGAGGCCGTAGGCGCCGGCCAGGATCTCGATGAGTTGTTCCTTCTCCAAACCTGGCAAGCCACCTCTTGGTTGTCGACAGAACAGTCGTCCGGCTGGTCTCACGAGCTTGTCTGACTGCATGAAGGCGTTCTTCAGGTCACCAACTGCTGCTTTCCACTGAAGACTGGCAGCTATCTGCAACACTACCGACAGAGTTGCCGTTGTCACCGTGGGAGCATGGCGATCCAATTGTAATAGATCAGGATCATGATCTCCTCTCACACACCATCGGGACTTCCGGGCTGGAGGCACTCCAGGCTGCTCTGATGGCTTCCATCTTCTCACCATCCTAGAAGGTAGGACTCTTGCAATGAGACCTGCTTCACTGAGTTGAGTCGTCACCTCTCTTGACTCTTCGGGTGAGAGTGCCTTCACTGCTCCAGTTGCTGCCACTTTGCTCCATTCGGCACCATCTGCAATGTGCCATTGATCCCACTCCTCAGCTGGGATATCTTCCTCTCTTACCTCATCTGACCCTCTTTTCACCATCAGTGACAGCTCGGACTCAGGTGGCAGCCTTCTCAGGGTGAACTCGGTGTATCCGACCCACCACCGGCTGGGCCCCTTTGAGCTTCTTCGTTCACGAGTCTTTGAAGTGTCCCTCCAATTTTCTTTCTCCTCTTGTTGACTTCCATCTCCAAAGCACTTCACCGTCCTCCTCTGGGAAGTGAGATACTTCAGGGACACGGGACATCCTCTGCTCTGGCTCGGCGTGAAATGCACTTGTGGTGCCATGGTGGCTCCTCCTTGATATGGCTTCCAGCGCTCCTTCACATGTCTTCTGGTGGGTCCATAAAGCTCCTCCGGAGGTCTTCGTTGCAAGGTTCCATCCAGTTGCTCACATAGTCGTGTAGATTCTATGGCTTGTTCCATCACCTCTGGCTCTTCTGAAGGTTCCTCTACACGTATCCCGCTGGACGGAGTGTAGTCATCACTGGGCCTTCCTTCCTCAGCCTCTGGTTCAATCTCAATGCCCAGACGTGGTCTCTGTCTGGGACGCTCCTCCTCATCGTCATCATCCATCATCAACGGAGGCCTCTCCCATTGCGTGATGTCTTTGAAACCTCTCTTGCTTGCCTTCCGTGTCATCCCCACTCTTAGCTCTTCAAAATCTTCCTCCAGCAGTGATCGCGCCTCCTTCTCCTCTGGGGTGGCATGTCGAAGCTGCTTCAAGGCGCATTTCCACAGCTCTCCACGAATCGATAACCATGCATTGGCTCCCTCCACCATGACCACTACTCCGGGTCCTACCCAGGTGGCCTTGCGCCCCTCTTTGTCCTCGAAGTCAACTTCACTCTTCATTCTTTTCCTTTGCAGGGGAACTCGGAACACGTAGATCACGTCACCAATCTTAAACTCCTGAGTGCCTCGTCCTCGAGCCAGGCGAGCCTTAGCCACTGCCCGGGAGGTGACATACTTGAGATACTCCTGCATGGCAGTGTTCCGGATCTCCATAGTTCTTCGCATGTCATCTGAGGTTGACTGTATCAATAGCTCTGGAGCATAGACATCATCCGAACCCAGGGAGCCAGGGAGTCTCATGTTGTAGCCGAACTGCCTTTGTGCTGGGCTGAAACCTGAGCGATTGAAGAGACGATTCTTGGCCGCCTCCACTGAGTGCACACACATCCTCCACTCACTGTCGCTGGTAGGAAATATGGTTTCCCTCAGCTTGATGAACACCTCCTTCGCCACTCCTCCATGTCGTTCGGTTCTTCCTTGTTGCCATGGAGCTCTTGCGCCAATCACCTTGTGAATGGCACCAGCTTCAGACACCTTCTCTGCTAGTTCTTTTCCGAATTCCCTGCCCTGATCCGTGATCACCACCTCTGGCACGCTGAAAGTGCGCACCCACGTGCCATAGAACTTCTCCCAGATGTGGCTTGACTGCGTGTTCTCGAGAGGTTCCAGCATCTGATATCCTGTAGCCCAGTCCAGCATGTTCAAAACGGGCCTCACTTGTCGCACGTCTAGGGCGGGGAAGTACACGACATCCAAGCCAACAGTTCGGCATGGTTCAAAAGTCTTGGGAAGTAGCGCCGGCCTGGCGCTCTTGGGCTTTCGGTTCCTTTCACAGATGTCGCATCGGAAGTCATCCTTCACGAACCTCCACACGGCATTCCGTGCTCTTGCAAGTCGTAGCGCTTTGCTGAGCTCATAGTTGCTGGGATGACCAAGGTTCACATGCAGTTTCTGGATCAACCGTCTATCTTCTGCCGTCAAACTTCCTTGCATGTGATCTGGTTCTTCTGTCTCCTTTTTCTCAAGGCTGTCTTCTTCGGCCAACGATCGACGCACTTGAGCTGACCGTGCGACCCCAGAAGCTCCCTCTCTCTCCTCATGTTGTCTCAGCAACTCCTCAATGTCTTCTTCTGCCGCCTTGCTCTCCTCCTCCGTGCCTGTTGCCCACACGTAGATCTTGGAGCACGTCCTTGATTCCTCCATTGAGCATTGCGGAACATAGTCCTCTGGGATATCTCTGGGCAAACTTGGCAATACCTCCGATCAAGGGCACGTGTTCGTGTCCTCCTGGACACCGACGGCTCAATGCAAGGGCGGTATTTTCACCGTTGGTGAGAAAGTCTGTGGGCTTCTTGTTGAGAGCTTCTCCTTGGACGGCTAATCCGTACTGGCATTGATCTGCTCGAACCCTGCGGACCCCAGGGATCTTCATCACTTCTTGAACACATGCTTCTTGCCAGGCCTTGGATGTAGCAGGGTGTTCAAAGATGGCGATCTTCTTCCGCAGTGTCTGCCAGCGGAACACCTCCATTGCAAACTGCAAATGTTCTCGTCCCTCGGCCAGTCGTAATGCTGTCTTGATCCCCTGATGCCGAAGATTCAAACTCTGTAGTATGGAAAAAGAGCTGCATGGAGGGCTCACCACCACAATGTCCGGGTTTGCCTCCTTCAACTTTTGCCAGCACCGCCGACGATCGGCTTGGGTGGATAAGTTGTAGCCCGTGACGAGGTTAAAGGCTCCCCCGCTCAGGTGACCTTTCTGTTCAGCCAACTGACTCACCCTTGGTGGTGAGAACACCTCGGAGACAATCAACTGCTTCATGTTCTTGTTGACTGCCTTTCTCGATGACTTGGACAGTGGTCTTTCTTCCTCTGGTTGTTGATCTTGGTCTCGGAAGTACATCTCCTCAAAAGCCACTACTGCGACCATGCCCTCATAGAATTCCGGCAAAATGCCTGAGTGAAACATCCAGGTGCCATCCTCCTCCTGCACCCAAAATCCGTCGGCGACCTGCCGCTCATAGTTGTCCTTTGCACTGTCTTCCAACTGCATCCTACACCACAGTTTCCAACGATCTTCATCTTGCAGTTGGACCACCCGAGGGGCGTCTTCTTCCAAAGCGGACTCCATCTCTTGCTTGCTCATTGTGGCATGAATGCCTGTGGGCCGCTGCCACTGGTGTAGCCCTGGATCTGCATTGCCTCCTGTGCCTCAAGCTCCTGGTTCGCAAGCTCCTCCTTCATGGCCATGGCTTTGCTCATCATCTCTTGCTGAAGCACTGGGCTCTTGAAGACCTCCTCCATCCTGGCCTCGCCCGCAACCGCGGACATCCACAGCAGCTGGTTCTTGAGCGTCTCCACCTCCAAGCTGTGTTGGCTCCTCGCTGCATTCATGACCTCCTGGTGCCTGACCTCCGCCATTTCCATCGTCTTGCGCACCAGTTCCTGACGTTCTGCCTCCTCCTGCTCTTCCCACCGCTTCACCTCTGCGTCCTCCTGCTCTTGAAGCATCCTCCTCTGGATTTCTTGGACCTCCTGAGGATCCCACTCGAAGAAATTGCACACCCTTCGAGCGCACTTCCAGAACAATCGGCCCTGTGTCGGACCCTCCTTTTTCACAATCAGCTGAACTGCTGGAGCTCGGCAATGGCATTCCAAGACTGCTGTCTTGGGTGTTGTGAGCTGCTCTGCATTCCGAGGTGGCGTCAACGGGGATCCCGGCGTGGTAGGCCATTTGATGGCTCTCTTGGCCGATGGTGTCTTGACCGGAGTGCCTGGTGGCGTCTCTTTCGCCTCCACTGTCGTGGACATGCTGGTCCCCAGGTGGAAGATCTTGCCGTTGACATGGATCGCCTTCTTCTTGCTTGCAATTTCCTCCATCACCCTGGCATCCACCGCTCACCTGGCATGGCACTTCCTGCACCACACTTCTCTCTGCACTTGATTGCCGGCTCCCGCCAATGCAGCGATGGGATGACTGCACGCCTTGAAGTGGCAGCTCGGGGATTCCTTGCTCCTCCTCTGACCCAGGAACTCGCCCAGTTGAATCAGCTCTGCATAGATGCTGGCCTTGGTGATTTGCGATGGGGTAGCTCCTGCCATGCACGAGAAAGGTTCTGATCCCGAGGCCAGCTGGGTAAATGAAGAACACGGCGGCAAGCCATGCACCAATCCAACAGGCTGCCAAGCGACCAGCTTTTCTCGAGCCCTTACGAACTCCATCAGGTCGGACACATGCTCGACCATCACTCGCCAATTGCGGACAGCTCTCTCTGCCCGCCTGGGATCCACTGTGGAGACTTTCTCCCATTCTTCGGTCTTCTCTTGATCCAGTTGGCGAAGACGAGCAATGAGGTCCATAGCGAGCGCCAGAGAGGCGGTTGCACTTCCTCCACATGAACGTCACGTTCTGAGCGGAGACAGCTGTCAAAAATCGAAATGATTTCTCTTTCCGGCTTTGCTCGACAGCCAAATCAGGAAGCTGCCACCCTTGTTCATGAAAATCCAAAACTTGCACAGCAACATGACCGGATGGCATGTGGTGAATGGAACTGCTCTTGCCGAATGCTGTGAGTGCTAATGAACTCTCTTGCAAATTGACAATGGCCCCAACCTGTTTGAGGAACTGGATCGACAAGAGGAATGGCACTTCGTCCTCCACCACTGTGGCCTCAATCAGGCCATTGACACCGCCAATGCCGACCGGAATCTCGACGACCCCACACACCTTGGCGTCACCTCCGATGCCCTTGGCCTGAGCCTGCTTCCCATTCCAAACCACCTTGAGTCCATGTGCTCTCAACGAGTCTTCTAACCGACGAAGTGCTGGGCGACCAATGAGACCACCTTGTGCCGCTGTGTCTATGATGCCCAAGGACCCACTAGTGGTGATGCCCGAAAAAGGTGGTGGTTCTCGGCCGATCTGCTCGTGCTTTGGCCAAACATTGTCCAAGGGTGACCTGAAACGTGTTGTGGCTGCCCTCCCCATCGATCATGCCGGCCTCGAAGAACCCTGACTTCGGACTGGTTCCCTCCGATGGCGCTCTGCTTTTCCCTTTTGCGTCCGGCTCATTGGTGCACTCCTTCGCCCAATGACCAATCTGGCCACAACGGGCGCATCGGGTGCGCAGCTTCAAAACATCGATGTGGACCTTTGTCCCCTTTCCGCCGAACTTGATGGATTGCTGACCCGACTTGGAGCCCTTGCCAAAGCGACCAACCGGCTGTTTGCCAAGTCCCTTCGGCTGATAATAGCCACGACCATTGCGCTGCTCTCGAATGGCTTGTCGAACCTGCTGGTAGGTGGCCAAGGCTTCAGTCAGCTCCTCTTCTTCAAACACCTGATCCAGGTCAGCTTCACCCAAGTATATGAAGTCGCCATCATCTTCTGACTCCACATACTCAGCCTGCTCGTCATCCGCTGTGAGATAGTGCTTCTGTCCACTCTTCTCTCTCTGCACTTTCTCCAGCTTCCGGAGAGCTGCCATGACTGCAGGCCGATCGAATTTGCCCTGAGTCCAGGTGGTGATCTGATCTTCCTGCGTCTGGGACAAGTTGGCCTGCCTGAACATGATGTACCCACGAACAGTGTCATCTAATGTGACTCCCTCTTCACGCAGTTCTCTAAACAGGGCGTCTTGGCGAACAATGAACTCTCCAAAACTCTCCTTGTTTCGCCTGGCCTCACCGTAAACAGCTCGCTCGAACGCGCGAGGCATGGCAATTTCAAGATGCGGTTGGTAATACTCCTTCAACTTGTTGACAATCGCATCGGCACCAGCCTCAGTGAGCAAGGCTTCGACCTCCAGCTCATTGCACACTGCCTTTGCTGGACCAGTGAGAGCCCTTAGCATCTTAACGGCGTGCTTCTTCGGGGGAACATCAATTTCATGCCGCCACATCTTCAACTCTCTCAAGTAACCCTTGAACTTCTCGACGTCACCGTCGAATCCCGGAGGGGGATCCTTATCCCGCCATGGCTGGAACGACTCTTCCGTCCCAGGAGCTTCGGCGCTGCCGCTCATGTCCGGCTCCGCTACCACTGTGTATTACACACAGTGGCAACGGAAGACCGCGACTCCCTCGTGCTTTTCCGCACACATGCGCCCCTCGAGCGGTCTGATGCTCGAATGGGCTTCGGTCGAACGAAGCTGCACAGCACTTAAAGTCTGCTATGTCCATGTCTCACGCAATTGACACCAAAGTGACATCGATTCACACGCATTATATTAAATAATGCAATTTTGAACACGATATTATATAGTATGTATACTTATTTGTTTTTTAGGTCGGTTATTGTTGGTATTTATATTTTTTTTTATTGATTATGTAGTAATTTTATTAATTTAGTTCCTAGATTTATTATCTATTTTATTTGTTTTTTGTTGATATTTTTAACAAAGGATTTGGGAATGTTTGTTATTGCTTAGTTTATTTGGGATTTATAATGGTATAGATTTATATTTATTTAATTATGATTATTTAAATTATATATATAATTAATTGAGGATATTTTAAACTATACTAATAGGATATAATATTGAATAATTTTTGCGGTTGTCTTTACATATTATTGTGATTATATTTTTTGTACAAATTTAAATATTCTAATTAATTTGATTTTTAATATTATTGATATTAATATTATTTTAGTTATATTAATAAAAATATTTATAAGAATTATAGTTATATAAATGTTATGAAATAGAATATAATTAGAAAAGGTATTATTAATAAGATTACCAATATATATTAAATATAATAAGAAAGCTATATTCTATTCCAAAACGATAAATAATAATTGAATAAAGGAATAAATGAAAAATTCAAATTTAAGACAAGAAAATATCAAAATATACCGAATATTCCACAAATATAAAAAATATAAATTTAATAACGAAAAATACAATACATAAACAAATATTACCATAAAACAAAAATAATTCAATAAAAACCACATAATATCATTAATATATACAGAATGTTAATTCAAAAAACATCACCAAATCCACGTAAAACTATTTAGAAAAACAACAAATTTTAAAGAAGAACGAAACAATCAATAAAATAACTAAAAACATAAAAACGAAAAGAACATAAGATTTCGTATATAAACGTCATTAAACGCGTCCCGCAAATATATTCCCCAAATGCGTTTCTTATAGATGCGCGGCGCATCCCTCAGACATATTAATATTAGATAATTATATATATATGAATCTATGGTTACCACGATGCATACAAAAAATACACATAAATACAATTATTTATATTCGCCAAACGCGTTTGCCTATTGAGGAAATAAACATAGTAACAAAATTAAGAATATATGAATAATAATTATAATCGTAATAATTCGTATTATATAAAAATAAAAACACCATAGTAATATTAATATTATTTTATTCTTTTTCACCTTGTCTGCCCTCGCAAAGACTGCAAGCCAGCGGGAAAAAAGGAATACGAGGAACTAAATGGATTCGCCTCTAGGGGCCATTGGTGAAGCACCGCGAAACAAATCAAATTACGTGTGAGTAGTTGCAGCCCTTAAGAGTTGGTAGCCGCGGCACGTGCCCCATATTCACGTCGCTTCGCGACGGTAACCGCCCGCACCGCATGGAAGGGGCCAATATTTCCACCGAACATAGCCCCGGAAGTGCCCCCCCCCTCCCCAACGTGGCCGAGCATAGATTCCATGTTTCGAGATAGGGATTTAATATGGCCCAACGTGTCAGGCAATATGAAAGCTATGTTTGGCCACGTTAGGGGGTGTTTTTTATTCCATTTTACGACGTTCAAGTCCCTTTAGATAGTGACTTCTAGGGCTATGTTAGGCTATCTTCACTCTATTCCAATCCCTTTTGAGCCTCCGTTGGGCCATGTTTACGACGTTCAAGTACCTATCTCGGGGAAGCATACTTGAGATAGTGACTTCTGGGGTTATGTTCGACCATATGGGAGCTATGCTCGTGAGATAATGTTACCGTTCCTGGACCTGATCTGCTTATCTCTGCTCCTGACCAGCCACGTACCCGGACGTTCAAGTCCCTATCTCGCAGACACTTCCGTTACATAGTGCCTTCTAGGGCTATGTTACGCAATATTACGACGTTCAAGTCCCTATCTCGCAGACACGTCCTTTAGATAGTGACTTCTAGGGCTATGTTAGGCAATATCTTCACTCTATTCCAGTCCCTTTTGAGCCTTCGTTGGGCCATGTTTACGACGTTCAAGTACCTATCTCGGGGAAGCATACTTGAGATAGTGACTTCTGG